GCTGCGAGGCAACAGTGCTACCAACTGTGCCACCTTGCAGCCCAGTAAACAAAATACTACTCTTATTTTGAAGTGATTACAACGAAAGAAAACATTCAATTCCTGCCAAAAGACCCTGTAAATCCTACTGACTGACTGACTAGGGCATTGAGGAGGTTGAGGTAGCAACGGGCACCACGACAAAAGACTTATGTGACCCTTAATGACAAGCTGGAATCAACTAGGACAGCATTTTTATATCCCAGTGGTTGATTATTCACTGTTAATGCTGGTTACCTGGTTATTATCAAACATCAGTGGATATAAACAAAGAACTGGGTTTAGGTTAGTTAAAAACACCTTGATCCTGATCTTTGAGACTGAATGAAGCTGTTCCTACACTGGACCTTTAAGTCTACAAGAGGTTTGAATTTTTGCAAAAACAACAATAAAAGGTTTTATTTTCGAAGCAGCAGCTCAGTCAGACGAGTAATCTGACAGCAGCGCAGTTACCGGAGCAGCAATCAGCCCGACGACAATAACACAGGAAATCAAGGTTTTCATAACTCACTCCTCTGACAGAGAAAAGTGAAATTATGCAGCACTGATGATGTTTGAATATCAGCAGTCTGTCAGCAGAATTACTGCATGCATCAAACTGCAAATGTGCTCTCCGCATCCGAGGTTTGACAGTTCATTATGTGTCCAGAGGCATAAATAAAGCTGATTTCATGAGCATCGACGAGCTCCGCAGGTCCGTCTGACGCTTTCAAACGACGGCTGTTTTCATTGTTCCCAAACAGGCGAAACCCAAACGCTTCAGCATATAATGACATTTAAAAGCCCGGTGCTCTTCTGTGTTAATTAGCAGAGTCCAGTTAATTGCTGCAAATGTATGATGTGATGTAACTGGCCGTGCAGGCAGACGGCGCAGTATTTACAGTACGGCCTTCGTCGCACCGCCGCTTATCTAAAGGTCGGAGCAAACAAACCACTTCCACAGGAGTGAAACCGACTCCCCCACAGGTGAGCTCGGAGTTAGACTCACTTTCAGCCACGCTAATCTCATTTATACTGACGATGAATTATGTGACAGTGTTTTCTAGGAGACCAGAGGCTGGAAAAGCAGCAGATAAGCAAAAAAAACCAAAGATCTGATATGGTTGGTATGTTTGGAAAAACATACGACACTGTGGTATTTTGTACTTTTGCATCTGCGTCAAAAGTGAAAAATGATTAAAAAAGAAAACCTAAAAAAGCAATGTGGAACCATTCTCACATGGCGTAAAGCTGGAGAAGTCATTCAAATCTGACTGTGCACTCGTTAAGCAGAGCTTTGTAGCACTGATTCAAAAGGAAGAAACAGCTTGCGGCAGGTTTGGACAGAGAACCAGGTCATGGTCAACATCTTCCTTTCTGTGGCTGAAATATGTCCATTCATACATCAGAATTATCCTTAAAAACTATATTTTTTATTACATTTTCACGCTTGAATAAACAGAACGCTGCTTTAACATCCGTGTTATTCCTGCTAATGTGCAAATCTGCAACGAAATAAGACTAAAGATCATCTAACATTGAATTTAGGGCATTTCCAAGATGCAAAAAAGTTAAACAGTGCACTTGTTGTCTATAAAATAAATAGTCATCTGCGTGTTTTAACTGTCATGCTACGTTTCTGAGTTATTTCTCCTTCTAGTGATGGTTGTTCTGTTTCCATGGAGGTGCAGGACTTTATATTGCAGTGGATAATTACCCCACAGTGAGTAAAAATGTGACAGGAGCAGGAAAATTTACACAAAAAAAAAGTTCTATGACACAGATTTCTCTTGTAGATTTGAAATTGATAAAACAAGTGACTGTTCTGTCTGTGTCAAGCAGCAGAAAAGCTGAGGATAAATGCAATGAAGCGATAAATGGAGTAGTTTTATTTTTCCACGTACAGATTTGCCCCCACGAGCCCCGAGTCTGATCCTGAGCAGGAATACAGGGCTGCTTTCCCCGACGGGTGCCACGTTTTAAAGGTCATCAATCAGAAAACTGGTCTAACGCTTCAAAGACGGATTATCATCATCATCATCACCATCAGTCATCATCAAACGGCATCATCAAAGCGCCGCTCGCTCGGGGTAATTACACACAAACCAGCCTCGGATTGTTGACGGCTAACTTGTTGAAGGAAGCAGAGTGAATCCAAAGCCTGATGGACGTCTTTGAACTCTGCGCTGTTTTCAATTCGAGCTGCTGCTTGTTTTTCGACACCTGAAGCGAGCGGCGCTGCGGCTACGTACGGCTAGCCTCAGCCTAGCTTTGTGTTTAATACCACACAGAAGACATCTCTGAGATCTCTGTCCTTCTTCAGTCTGAGTCCACAGAGCTGCAAGTGTTGTAAAGAAAAATGAGCCACAGTGAGGAGAAATGTGACAGGAGCAAAGAAACGGCCAGAGAGGTAACCAAGGTGAACATCTGTCCTGTAATACTCTGAGGAGGTTTCTGAGATAACATATTAGAGAAAGTAGATCAAAAAAATACAGCATGGCTCAAAAATGGAGGAAGATACATCCAGCACGGTGAAACATCTTTCTACACTTATATCTATAGTATGTGGAGACAAAAC